TGTTCAACTCCTCCAAAAGACACTGCTCGTCCTTATCGCCAGCATCTTATCTAATCGATTTGACGACTTCGTCTCCCTCGCCCTTGCCCTGTTTCATCTTACTTTTCTTCGACTTAGGCGTCCATTCCTCGTCCTTGGTACGGTCTTGGACGTCATCTGCATAATTTCCATCTTCCGTATCGGACTTGATGTCTTTTGGTGGGATGTACTCTGCGTCTTGCATCTAGCTTGGTGTTAGTTTCTTTTCATATCTGTTTTCTCTGTGGTGGAATTGTGGTACCTTTTTCACGCTGCGTTTTAGCTCGACGAGTTCTCCAGTGCCGAGTATGCGGCCGGGACCATCGAAGTAGGAGCGTTTGCGGGGCATGCTTGGGTTAGATTGGTTTGGTTGCGGGGGCTTGTGTGGTGTTTTTGGTTTGGGAGTTGAGGAAATGTGGATGAGAGAGAAGTACGTCCAATAGATATAGTGTTGGGAAACTTGATGCCAGCAGGTGAAGGTAGTACTAACTGATTTATTAGCCTCGGTCGCCACCTATCGATTGAGTTGTTGCGATGAGGTCAGGGTGAAGGCAGCATGCACTATTGCTGTGCGCCTGTAGTAGTAATACAATAAAACTATGCAATGCTCTCTTCAACTCATCTCACCTCATTAATCAATTCAGGAAAAGCACAGCTCATTTTACCTTGTCATTGCTATCAACGTAGACCGTATCTCATTGAACTCACTACTAATCCCTTCGTCCTATTACCACGAATGCAGGACCATTACTACACCAAAACGCAAAAATCCAGCAGCTTGCGCAGTTGGTGTGCTGTCCATTCTACTGATTGAAACGACTCGCGCTCTTTCAACATGAAGCTAAACATTCATACCTCACCAATCATTGCAAGATGTTAAATATGGCAGAATAGCTGCCATTCAACTTTTTATGTTGTATTGGGATTACTTCCCATGCTGCTGTTGTAGTTACATTATATAATGCAGCTAAAGAGATCCTAGAATGGCACCCGTTCAACTCATACCATGTACACCATGGAATCAAAAGAATAAAATCACATGAAAAATAACGGCATTAATATCGATCGTGAATTGGTTGGAATAAAATGCGCCTAGTGACAGAACGATGCTGGGCCACTAGTCCGTGACCGGCGCTCGCTTACGGTACCCGCGCTACCTTCACCATCATCACAAAAAAAACTATTCTCGACTCGACATAGTCACGTCGGAACAGCAAAAAGAGAATTTCCGACACCGGGAATCGAACCCGGGCCTTGCCGGCACTGAACAGTGAACTGACTCTGCAATGAGAGCGGCAAATCCTAGCCACTAGACCATATCGGATTTTGATGGAAGAGCTTGGAATTAATGTGTTTATAGACTTAGATATATCATCCTAACACGCTGATGGGATATCGAGTTTAGATAATCTTTCATCTTTGCGCTCCTAAAATCGGGGTAGTAGGTTCTGATATCGATAACAATGTGCCAACCCTTTTGTGCCCCTCAGTGTGACTCTACTGCGTCCGCCACGGGGCAGCAACACTAGTATTATCATGGATCACCGAACTTAGTTATTTTGCAAACACATTCAATTTCTTCAAAAGATCAACAAGAGTAGTCTGAAAGAGAACATATAATGTATCAACCAATTGTGCACACTGCAAGAAACGAACAGATGAGGGAAAATAACATTTGTTCAAAGACACCAACTTTCATCGAGCCTAACCCAACACCGGCGTATCCGCTCTCTCTGGCGAGATTGAAGCCGCTACTGGAATCAGACCCAGCAATTTCATGCCATTTTCCAGAACAATCGCAGTGGCTTCGTATAGCGCAGCAAGCCCTGGAGTGACACCTTCACCCTCCCCGTCCGCTTCCTCAACTTCCTCATCATCTTGTGCAAGGCACTCAGCCAGCTGCTCAGTCACGCTAGCAAGATACGTGACGACGCCCGCCGGCTCAAGTGAGCTATACGTTGCCTTTACGACTTCTGGGTACTGAGCCAGGATACGCAACAGGTTTGCTTGGTCTTCTTCGGCCAATACTTCGTAGTCTTCATCCGAAGGTTCGGCTGCAGAATCGACGTTTTTGAGGAGGAGATGAAGTCGGGTCAGCCAGTACTGGAGATCTGGTCCTGATCCGAGTTTGAAAGAGGTCATTAAGCTGGTGTCGAAGGCGTGGGCGGTGACCAGGCGGGTGGAAAGCTCTTGGATGAGAAGTGCGGATGTCGCCAGACCCTCTTTGGCTTTATCCAGTTCACCCATCAAAGCAAGTTTGTTTGTGTCTGATCCAGGCAAGGCCTTCATTGCTTCCTCGCATGCATCTAGTATATTCTGAGGCTTGTAGCCTTTGCCTAGTGCCGCTGCCATCTTTGAAGTTTCGCTGAATTTGACATGCTGTAGCTTGCTGGAAAGATCTTTCAAGTCCAAAGCCTCCAAGATCTTGATGATTTGTCCGAAGTGGACGCTGTTATCACTAGCCACGACGTAAATCATCTTATCGAACGAGTACTTCCTTGACCTTTCCAGTACAGCAGCAAGGTCGCGAAGAAGATACGTGCTAGCTCCAGTACGGTCGCGGATAATGGCAGTTCCGGATTTCACGCCTAGTTTCTGCATATGAACGATCCACGCTCCTCCACTTTCCTCCGAGATGCTCTTGTCTTTCAACATCTGCTCGACTTCGATCATAGTGTCTTGGCCGATCTGAGACTCTCCAGTGTACTCATCAAAGTGAATACCGAGTCGTTCGTAAAACTCGGTATAGTTGTCAATATTGACGTTCCTAACACGTTCCCAAAATGCCACAAGTGCTTCGTCGCCGTCTTCGAGCTTCCTGAAGGCTTCGTTCCGTTCGGCAAAGATGCCTTTGCTTTCGATCTCAACTTGCGCCTCCCCCTTGTCTACTCCTTCTTTGGCTACTTCATCACGTGTCTGTTTGCTTGCAGCTTGCTCTGGTTTAAAGTCCTCTTCAATCTTGTGATAGACTTGGAGGAGATGGCCAATAGGATCTGCTTCATATGCCTCTTCTGAACCATACTTGGCCCACCCGACGTAGAGTAGAGCAATGGGCTTACCCCAATCACCGAGGTAGTTGATGCGCGTGACATCCCATCCCATTGATTCGTACAGCCGGCCGATGAAGGCGCCGATAACTGTGCTGCGAAGGTGTTTCCCCTGAAATTCGCTTGTGATGTTTGGTGATGAGAACTCAACTACAAGTTTCTGGCGCACATGTTCTTTCGTCAAAAAGCTACCATATGTGCTCTTTCTGTCCGAGATGTATGGTAACAGAAAGCGTGGTACAGCGTCGAACTTGAGGAAAAATCGCAGATGTACTCCATCAGGTAGAGGAGGTTCGAAGAGACCATGGTCTTTCGGGAACTATCATCGCGTTAGTTTTGAAGCTCTCAACACACGAAAGTGAACTGACCTTGTCCACCAACTCCGCTGACAACTCATCTGGCTTGCAGCCAGGCTGCAATCTCGGGATAGTGACGGACAGGTCCCCATTGAATATATTATTCGGCCATTGTATAGACTTAAATGCGTCTTGAATGTCACCCGTCACAAGATCGGAAAGGGCATGAGCCAGGGACGAACGGCAGATATCAAGAGGGTTGAAGAGAGGGTTGGCTCCATTGTTTCCAGTTTTCATTTCTGAAATAAAAAGGTGATCTAGCCATTGCTCTAAGCCGGCAAGGCTGAGTGTCGATGGACCGGCCATGTTTGGTGTTCAGCCTCGTGACGATAACGAAGCCAACTGTAAGGCGTACGTATTTTGCCACACGAGAGCAATCCAAAACAAACGTAGCAAGAAGGCCTTTACTATATCACTTAACCCATTGTTTTCGCCTTTTTCCCCTCTCACAAGGGTGGTTACGGCTATCTTCACGAATGCCGAGTTTCAGCCTTGAAGGATTGTGCCTGCCACGTTGTTGAAAATCTGCTAGTTATCGTGTTCGCTTGGGATTGGTGGTATGGCTTAAATGCACATTGGCGTGTATCCTGTTGGTGGTTGCACTCGTTGGGCAATGGAGAGCTGATTGCACTAGCCAGCTGACTTCCATGTCTGGAGTCCGAGCGCTGCATTGCGCTGCATTTTTCAGGATGTGAATTACCTCGTATAATGAGAACGTTAAAGATGCTTAGGGAGATGTTGTCTACCCGAACTTATATGAGTTCACTGAATTTGCCTGCCAGAAAATGACGTCGGTATCCAAACTGATATCGAACTGTGAACTGATTGATGAGAAAAACAATATGATAGGAGCTTAAAGCATTAGTCAGAAATTCTTACCACTGTAACTACAGAAGTGTGTCCTGTGATCTAGCGATTGGGCTGCAGTATGAGGGATGACCTCATCGACAATGGTTTGCTACACCAATCCCACGCTGCATTTGGATGAGTCTCAGATTATATACTCACGGTCTGGGACGCAGATCAACACCTCTATGAACTTGGTTTAGTGTTTGATAGATGACATACTACCCTGTTGAACAAGGCGAGAGGTAGGGTGGATGCGAAATGAGTGTGAGGATCTATGTCTCCCTGGTTGCGCAAAGGAGGGGCATACCAATACCCCCCTAACCCCCACTCCTACCCCTGAGAAGAGAACAGCACCTATGTAAGAGGATGCTCAGTAATCTTTTGATCTCCATCTATACTGCATCTTTGCCCTTTGAACTGCGGGGTGAACTTCAACCCTGAAAGCATAGTCGGCCTCGTATTTGCTCTGTCTAGAACAGAAATCGAGACACTAAAACGTCACTAGAAACGGTCATTTTGTATTTATACACGACAGAGAAGTATCTTTTGTAAATCCAACGATATTCAGAACATGTATATAACTCATCCATTCGCGGCGGTGCACATCAGGACTGTGTGAGCGGAAAAGATGATAACACCAATTTGTGGATCCAAATCATAGGAGGCAAACTCTCATCTTACTAACACATAACCAAAAACTTGATTAACAATACTAAAACTGACCAAATTGTCAAGCGCATTGGTGGCCACAAGAACAGGAGCCTACTGCAGGCACTGGGCGATCATAGCGTTTCATGTCGCAAAGTTCTAGAGCTATTAGTTACCATTTTGTAATCAATGTTTTTAGTTTGTAATAAAATACTGTTTTCTGTCTAGAAAAAGAGGCAAAGAGGATGTACGGAGATGTAACTTACCGATTTCGTCAACTTCAGGGTACATGCAACTCATCCATCTATCGATTTTTTTGAATACTGAACTTTCTGTGATCTTTCCAAAAACTGGGATCCTTGCGAGCAATGCAGGTAATGTGCTTAATACCAATTGCAACATTTGAACGCAAGGTGCCACGAATGACAAGATAATCAGTACCATGGGAATAGACAGTACGAATGTCTTTGGGCTGCGGTCGATTGAGAGAAAGTTGCGCTCGCTACAAAAGTATTGCAGAGCGACGGCAATTGATGCCGTTACTTGGGCCAGCTGTTAATGTCAACGATGTCGTTCGAGCGAGATCCGCAAGAGCCTACCGGTACATTCGCCCTTGCGATTTTAATATTCTCCTCAACAAACTTCTGACTAAGTCTACTATGCCTGCTGAGATCCATGCTATGTCTCGAGTTTTCCTTAACAGATATGCTGACCTGGTCCATCAGTTCCAGTCGAAGCTATCTAGCTAGTTAGATATATTTGTTAGCAGTAATACTTTAAACGTACGGTATTGGTAGCGTCTTCCAGGGTCGTCTTCAGAAGTTCCAACTGGTGCAGCTCGAATTTCAGATTGTGAAAGTTCTCTTTGGTCTTTTTGAGAGCAAGTATTGCCTTCCGGTCCTTGATGTCAGAGAAATATTCTACATCTCCATCAATACTACGAAATCTTTCCCACACAGCTACGGTATGCGACAAACATGTACTCAATTCATGTAACACTAGCCAAACCTGCTTGATGTTGTCTTTCAGAATTTTAATTTCAATATTGGGGCTCGGTGTTTGCAAGGAGTCCAACGGAGTGTATATCGAATGTGAGATCTGTTGTGGCATGGTTAAGAGATTCACTGTTGTAAACCTGTCTTGAAGCACTTACCCAGTTTTCGACCCCTGATATAAAGGTACTAATAAGGAACTCGTACCTTTCGTAGATTATCTGCATTCGGATAGCGAAGACGGTTAGAAAGTACACTCTGGGGTCCCATATCGGCGTACTAGCATCTAGCACCTGATGGTCATCGTAATCAGTGCCACCTGTAGCAAAAAGATCTTCGTTTGGCATTTCATCATTGAAATCTTCGTCCCCATTGCTGTCGTACTCATCTTCTTCCTTCATGTTCTCAGCTGAAGACTTGAAGGATGAAAAAGCATAACCAGTCCATTCCGAGCTATCGCAACCAGAAATGAGGACAGTTTCATGGACTTTCCAAATAGAGAATCGAGCAGCGTAGCCATCTTTTTGCGACCCAACGTTCAAAAAGGAGAGATTTGTCTTCAGAAGTTCAGCTGCGCTCCCGTTCTCGATTTGTGAAGCTTTTGAACAGCCTTGTTCTTCCAAGACTAAGTACGGTAGACTGAATTCAAGATGGAAGGTAGTGAAGCCAGTGTACTATAAAGTTATCAGCGTTATAAACAGGGTAAATAATTGGCAACATACCGGTATGCGCACCTTGATACAAGTTTCACGTGCAAGGTGGCTGCGTATTGCGAGTCTCAAGGCCGAAACTTCATTCCAAGATGAGGACCGTGCAATCTCACAAACGAAACCACGATCCAATTCCTGGATAAATCTAAGACATATCGTTATAAGGTATTATTTCAAGATCATATTGAAATTACAGAGGACTACGACTCGGATAAAATTTAAACACAGCTTACATCAAACGACGGACCGCGTCTGTATTGGAGAGGGCATTTGTAGACTGCTGGGTAGTTAGTATCACTCTTTATGTCTTCAAATATCACTAGTGCATAACTCACGCTGTCCTTGATGAATTTTTTCAGTTCACTTGGTGTTAGCCACCGAGGAGAGCTTTTTTGACCTGAAGCTTTCGTGCGATAGTCCACCCAAGCTCGCCGAGGATTCAGTAACTTGGCTTTACTGTTTGCGATCTTGTTGAGTACTATCTTCGCTTGTTGGACTCCTCTTGATGGTATAGAGTTGTCAGTGTATTGTAAAAAGGCATCGATGGGATCTCGTTCTACGTCTTCTTGTTGTAGGCATTGCTGGAATGTGCGGTCATGCTGTTTACGGTTCTTTTGAAGAAAAACCTGGTCCCAGCTTTTGCCATAGTCCTCATGATCCGATATCCAAGACGAACAGTCACAACGATGCTTGGCGTTGATTTTTGAAGGCATTTGTAACCAATAACAAGGTCATGCTCGAATTTTCAGTAAAAAGAAACTAGTTCGCAGTGTCGAATCCTGGGCTTTTGGGATACAACTCCTTTTCATAAGAAGAAGAAGATAAATTGACTGTGACACAGTCATCCCGATACTCTATATAGTAGAACCAGAGAAGGGCAAAATCTGCCTCATCGACCCGGAAGCCACAATAGAAGCGAATTGAAATCTGTTACACTGCGGTACACCAACTCTAACCCGCCGGTGTCGGATATTCGTACACTGATCGGTGTGTCTATATCACAGCTGGAATTAGGATTCATAGGGCTGTACAAAAACCACGTTTGAAGATGTGAGTTGCTGGGCAGATACGTGCGATGCGACTGCCTGCATCACGAGGTCAGTTGCAGGAGGAGGCTTTTCTTCTGTACCACATATCTTGAAGAGCGTCCGTGCATGACCGCATCCACGAATACACATTCATCAGGCTGAGATGGGGCGAACATCTTGGAGCATAGCTGCCCAATGCATCGTGAAGAGGCAAATGTCGGGCATATAGACCTACCAGAACCCCGGTTCCTGGTGTTTTCCTAGCGCAAGGCAAATTCTTGAACGGGGAAGGACTTCCCAAGAACACCAGAATGCCAGCGCATGATATGGCACGTGGTATACGTGATCATTCAGCAATCTACGACTGGTCTGGATTGAATTTCGTGTTTCAATAGCGGATTCCGCCAGTGAAAAGTTGGCTGGAAAGGCGAAGAAGTTATATGGGTAATTGTAGAAAGAGCGAAGTAGAGATGCCTGCCACTACTCCCCAAAGTCATCTGATCGGATTGAGCACAAAGGTCAGTTGAATTGAGGCTGACGTTCGAGAAGCATCGTGCGCAGCCCGACACGAGGCTCGATATGCATGGACGAGTCCCATCACGAGGCTCGTACGCCGGATAAGGCATTCCATTTCTTACTCCTAGTCGGAGGCTGAGCTATTGAGAAAAGTTCTTTAACCGGCCGAGTAATGTCTTAATGCCTCCTAAGCTGCTACCAGGTGCACATGTCAAGGGTGATTTGATATGTTTCAACTATCGATCTGATTTTTGAAATCACGTTCGCTAAAACCCCTACTATTGATGGTATCACGTGATCAAATCCGCTACCTCTATTCAAGTGCCGAAATATACAAGTAGTACATGACACGCAAAACGCCCTAACATCCTGTCGACGATTGAGACCATTACAAAATTTGCGAATCCTTCTTTCCATCATAAACCCAATATATATATAGAAATATATGGAGGTATCTTTACAACACAACCAATAAATTACAAAGTTAATCAAGTATAGTTGATAGGCAATGGCCTAACCCTAAAGCAGCGAAAACGAGTATGAGAAAAAAACTAAAAAAAACTTGATTAGCAATGTGTGAGAAATTCGGTTTCCGGTTGGTATGTTTATTCCGGACCCGATGGTTGAAAGCTAAGCCCGATGTGTATTCCGGTGGCTTTCACATTGACGTTGAGCAAACATGTTATCTTTGCTGCACTTTTGTAATGTGACAGTTGCCACATCGAGCACAACCACAAGAAGGGCAAGCATTGCTCCTGTAGGGTATGGAAACGGTACCACAAGAGCACTGCGTAACTGTTAGTCTATATAACTTATGAGATACTGTTCTGTACTTGCACATTGCCATATGAAAGTATGTTTCTTCTTTCCAGCCATCCTCACACGCGCTGCTGGCGGCGGCGGCATCGGCAAACATGACTGAGAGAAAGAAATAGTTCCTTCGGTACTACTCTCACAGAGATAATGGGTTTGCACATTTCCATGCCGTGTCATTATCTCGAATTAATCCCTTTAATCCCACGCTCCAACACACAATGCATATGCACTCTCCTGTTTGATATGCCTGTAAATAGCCGCGAGATCGGTGTGGTCAACCACAAGAGAAGTAATTGATCGTGCAACGCGCCGAAAATGGTTGAGAAAGTGATATTGACCAGTAAAACAGTTGTTCTAGAATCTATGGTAAGCAATGGACAGATGTATGCGAGGGTTCCAAGCAGGGTTCTCCTCTTCCCACGTTGATTGCGACGAAAAAGGTTCAGACATGATGGGACTGAGGCTTACCGTAGTGTTGAGAGATAATATACTCATTCATGTAGAATTCGAATTGGGTGTGCAAAAGTACGTGGCGAGTGAGACTTACACTGTTAGCTCATAGAAGATGAGGGTCTTGAATAGCAGGCTTGGTGAATAAACAAAGTAATCAAACTACGTCTAGAACTAGAATCTTTTCAAGGATATATGTCGAGTTAGAGAATCTATCACAGGATACGGGTACCTACATCATCCCTTTTTACTACGGCTAGATGCACGAGCCAATCACTCGTAGCCCAAGCGTAGGGGCAGTCATTCCACCAATTTTTGCGTGACAGTCTTAGCGCCGTGCGATTTTGTGAGAAACTTGTTGATGAGGAGATATGGGTTGTGATCTTCCTAGAACCCCCTTTTGCTTTTCTTTTCTCGATTGCCCTTCACCTTTGATTTATTTATAGAAGCTCAACCTGCGATTATATAACAAAACAACACGACCTAGAAGGTTTAGATATACTCGAAGAAGACAAGGCTTTGGATTGCTACACATTGTGCAATACAGAATGATCTCTATGAAATTAGTTCATACGTGTCGCATGCACAGGAATCGGCTGATCAATTCTGAACTCCTTTACTGTTGACTTCCGCCCTAGGCCCTCAATTCCTTGGCGGGAGCCACGAACAAGGATTTAGAAGAAGTAATGTTGCTGCACAGAGCTATTTTCGAGCAGTCTTCAACCAAAATAAGAAATGAGGGCGCACGGGGCTCTCTTTTTGGCAGACTACTTTTGTTATGGCGCTACCATTGCCAGAGCTCACCTATCCCGTTTGGGTATAGCGCCTTGGCCGAGATTCTGTACTTAGCCTCACCTCCCACAGTTCCGAGATAGACAACTTGTACTATATACTGTTTTAACACCTGTCCCTTTTAGCGGCCGTCCCGGCCCGTGACAGCTTTGGCCGAATTGTCAGACATTCTGTGTCTGTTCCAGCTCGATAGTATCTAATCATGTCAAATGTGTTCACAGAATGCTTGATTCTAGACTCACTCGAATTCTGACCCGGCGGCTGAGATCTTTTGGGGGTAACGGACGGCTTCCGGTAAAGGAGGCGCAGTAAGGTACCTCCGTGCTGAAGCGCCAGGGCCAACAAACGAAGAAGCAGCATCAAAACAAGCGTCGCGAGAACGAAGGTTTTAGGGTTCCTCTTGAAGAATAGAATTTCTTGCTCAGAGCTGAAGTACTGAAGCACCATGCCCAGCGGCGTGGTGAGTAACAGTAACTAGTATGCGTCAGGATAGCGGGTATGGCGGTGGTGATGTTATATACCTCAACATTCACGCGTGTGCTACGACTGGTTTTGATGGCTTCTGCTTGATTCGCACACGCCGCTTCTGTGCTTCTTTCATTAAGTTTATGGATCTCTTTGTTGAGCACACATGTTTCTTCGTTTAGTTTGTGCATGCGCTCGCTCAGTTGGTGGCTAGCCAGATGATACATATTGCTCTCCTGACTAAGTTGTTCGTTTTTTATGATCAAGCGATTATTTTCAAGATCGAGCATGCGTCCCAGCTATTCTAATTAGCAACATAATAGGCATATTCACAAAGTTCTACCACATACATGCGTTGCAAAGCGTTTGCAAGAGTCATCTAGTGAATGAAGTCTGTTCAAGAGGTCTGTGAGCTTCTCAAATGATTCGACAATGCTATTCTGCACAGACGAACAGTCCCTGATATCCGAGAAGTAGCACATATCCCCACCTGATTTGCTGAAGCGGTTGTAAGCTCGGAGTGTGGCTGAAAGCGTGTCACGCAGTCGGCGCAGAAGCTGCATCGTCTGGAGGGTCTTGTCCAAAGATCTTTTGATATCGTCAGCAAGGACGACGCCTTGAGTTGTACCACTGTTACAAGGGTCTTGTGATTTCTGTAGCGTCTTAGTCGTGGACAAACCAATATGTAGAAAAGAGAAGATACCCATGCTTCTACGCCCTCTTCAACTGTTCGTATGAGATATAGCCATTCTTGTAGCACGTACTGACTACGATGTGCTACAAGACGCAGCCAATATCTTCTTGCATCCCAGGTCTGCACAGATTGTGGAGGAGTAGCAAAATCAAACCCATACTCGGAGGTTAGGAAATGTCCTTTGAGCTTGTCGATATCTTTGTTATCCAAGCCATCGTTATCAGCCTGTGTGAAAACGTACCCGGTCCACTGCATGTTGCTCCAACCACAAATTACCAGAGTCATATGCCCCCGATATAATGAGTGGGGAACGATCTGCCCATTACCGTCAGCTAATTCGAGAAATGAGAGATCGGCTATCGAGTCATCAGTAACGGAACCCTCATTCTGACTTGATGGCCTTAGAAGTAGATGTTCCATGTGAAATTCTAGTTGATATGTCCTAAAGCCTAGTATCTATTGCTTTTTGAGTTGTTGCCAGAGTATTTTTTGGGCACAAGGTAACACATACTGGCATTTGTACGCGCATGGACGTCTCGAAAGCAATATGTTTCCATATTGCATCACGCAATGCTTTCATTTGGTGATGCCAACCTGTTTTGGCCAAGGCAGAAACAAAACTGGGAGTCAGTTTGGGAATGTAGCTATATAGTCGTCAGCTGAGGTACGTTGAGGTTTTGATGATTAATAGAGAGTCACAACATACATCATACGCTGATCGACATCTTGAAGGGTTGGATGACCGAAGCGCTGCCTTCGATTAGATTTGTCGTGACAAAAGGTAAAACAACAAACCAGCTGCTCCAACGTCTCATACAGGCCCTTGGAATTGAAGCATCCTTCATAATCTCGACTACGCCCAGTGCATGTTCCTCGATCATCTATCCATGCCCATGCATTGTCGTCTTGGGCTACCAATACTTCGTTATCCGGCCGCGATAAGAACTTGGCAAGAACCTTGGATTCCCATGAGGCATTGGGTACTTCGAAGCTCTCGAGGAGCTTGGATATCAGTTCCCGTTCGGGTATACCGCGGTTCTGTCCACGCAAGGGCTCAGATTCTGTGTCGTTTGTTTGATCAACATCAGACCAATCTTGATATACAGGATGATCATCGCAGGGTCGTGGCTCAGAAAAGATTTGGTCCCAATGTTTACCATTGTGACTATGCGATGTTGTCTTTCGATTTTTCTTCACCAAGATGGCGGACCTTCCCGATGATTGCCTCATATGAACAGTGTCCGGCACGCCAAACGCGGAACGGAGATAAAGAATCCAAAGGATAAAGTATTGAAGCGACCAGAGGCAAAGCGTAGCAGTTGTTGAATTAGAAGTGCGAGGAGAGCAATCTTATGTAACAAAAAAACAGCTTCCTCAAGATTATATCTGTCGTTTTTGAGGAGGATTCCGATCCATGGCAGTGCTGTTTCGGCCTCATAGTCAACCGCGCGGCTATCAGGTCAATACAGCAACATTGAGCACCACAGCCCGGCCCTGTATGCCCCGGAATCAACCTTGGGCATTTAGGAGGCGCAGCTCTGAGACAACATGCAAATCATAGGTGCATTAGCTGCGACAACGCATAAGCGCTTTTCAGTTGACCGGCGATGGAATGTGAGGCGAACCGTCATCGGGAGTTTTGTCCAGCCAGTGAATAAAACCTATTGACCCAAGATACGAGAGACCAACGTAGGGGTTATATATTTGCGTCCAAGTGCTTGTTTAAGTACCTTATGCTGCAGGAAAGCGGAGAGGCTGACACTATGCAACAAGGTGGTTTAGCGTCACGATCGTCATCGCCGGCTAAGCTCTCGCAAGCACCAAGCTCTCTAAGCTCTCAACCTCCACCACCAACCCGCAATTGAGGCACCAATAGCCTCACATAACGCCCAAAATGATCCTCCGGACCCTCCCTTTCTGCACCCTAGCGCTCAGTGCCCTCACACCCACCCCACCCCAAGCCGCCTCCACGCTCCTCTCCACCTCCGAGTTCCAAGCCCTGTCAGCCTCTGAGTCCGAGTCACTCCTCTCGCTCCACCGCCACCTCGTAGAGGTCGAATCGATAAGCGGCAACGAAAAGAAAGTCGGCGAATGGCTCTCTTCCTACCTACAGTCGCACGACTGGACGGTCGAGCGACAAGAAGCCTCACCCGGCCGGTATAACCTACTCGCGTATGGCTCCAAACGCGAAACAACGATTCTCTTGACCTCCCACATCGACGTGGTACCTCCTTACTGGCCCTACTACTACAACAAGACGAGCGACGAGATTGGGGGTCGCGGCAGTGTTGATGCAAAGGGAAGTGTAGCGCCGATTATCATAGCTGCAGAGGGCATACGAAAGCAGATGTACGATGACATTTCGCTGCTGTTTGTTGTAGGTGAGGAAACCGGTGGCGATGGCATGCGCGCATTCAGCGACTGGTCAAAACGACCATCCTCACATGAAATCGTCATCTTCGGGGAGCCGACAGAAGGCAAGCTAGTCTGCGGACACAAGGGCATGCTCGGTTTCGAAGTCAAAGCTACAGGAAAAGCAGCGCACTCCGGGTACCCATGGTTAGGCGTGAGCGCAAACGATATCTTAGTCGAGGCACTAGGTGAATTGCTCAAGCTACGAAAACACCTCCCTTGGAGCGAAAAGTACGGAAACACAACTATGAATTTCGGGCGTGTCCAGGGCGGTGTCGCAGCAAACGTGGTCGCCGAAACTGCATCTGCGAATATCGCGACACGACTTGCGGCCAGCACACCCAAGCTCGTTCGCGAACATATCGTCAACGCGCTTCAAGGCGTTAAAGCAGCGGCGCAAGAGCAAGGCGGTGATCTAGACATCATCTGGGGCAGCGAGGGCTACGGCGTCGTCGACATCGATTGCGACGTCGATGGCTTTGACACCCTCACTGTGAACTACGGTACCGACGTACCGTTTCTCTCCGGAGACCACAAGAGATATCTATACGGCCCTGGATCCATCTTCGTCGCGCATTCAGATCACGAAGCGCTCAAGCGCAAGGAGCTTGAGCTGGCTGTTCTGGACTATCGTCGGTTGATCGTCAAGGCTAGTGAGATGCGTGGCGATGCTGTTGTTCAGGATCAAACCGAATTGTAGGATATGTGTACATAAATACAACGAATCATAATGATATCAAACAATAATAAAATGTACCCCCACATTTAGTCTACCAGGAGAAGAATCTCACTCTTAAAATCAGGTAGGTCTGAAAGCAGGTGCTCTGGTCTTCTTTCGCTCCCCAAATCTTCCCGAGTCCCCCCTCTGCCAGGCTAGACAGAAGGGGACTGGATAGATGACGGAAACTCAGGAACCGATGGATTTTTCTCGCGCATTTCCATTCACCTCCCCCCCTTTCCTATACAAGATAAGAAAGAGAGAAAGAGAGGGAAAAAAGACAGAACCGACCAGCCACGGAGGTGAAAAGAATGCATGGTCGTCTGTGAAGAATCTGTTCATTGCGCTATGATGTTGTGTGGAATGGAGAAGGAGAAGAAAGTGAGGGAAAGGGGAGTAAAGTAACTTAGGGAATCTGGAGGGGTCCGTGCGAATGAGAACAACAACACACGTAGAGAAAGAAGAGCAAAGGACAAGAAAAAGGGAACTCATAACCAGCGCTATGCATTCTACTTACCCGAAAAGCTCAACGCCGGTAATGCTATTCTGTCTTCACATAATCTTACATTTTTAATATACAAATCGTCATGAAAAGGGCGTGATAACCACGGACCAAGCTTTAGCTAGCGATAGCCGGGACGCCATCGTCCTTTTGTGGAATCCCTTCTGCCTCCTCTGCTGCTTTGGCGGCATCCGACATGCCCATGTCTCTAAACTGCCACCCATCGGCTTCTTTAACCCAGTCTTTTCGCTCGCCGAGAATAGCAATACTGCTTTCTTGGGCGCGCTGGACGAGGAATTCGTCGGCGGCGGCTTGTACTTGCTCGGCTGTGACGTCGAGGAGACGCTCGCGCCGTGTTTGCAGCATGTCGTCCGTGACGCCGGAGAGGAACTCGCGCATGCCTTCGCGGCTGACGCTCTGTGGAGCGTCGTGGCCCTGGAAGGCGCTGAGCTTGGCTTCTTCAAGATCTTGAGCTGTCCATGCGCGGTCGCGCGCCCATTGTCCGGCTTCGGCCATAATTTTCATGCTGTTCTGTGGGTTGGGGTCGCGGTACGAGTACATGCCGAAAAGACCACCGAGGCCACGGGCATAGGCACCACCTCCGTAAGCACCACCCTTCTCACGAATCTCAGGATGCAATTGCTTGAAAGTGAGCATTTTTGAGAGAATCTCGAGGGGCGCGCTAGATGCGTGGGTGTAGGGCACTGTGGGGACAGCGCGAGCCGAGTAGTAGACTTGATATGGCAGGGGGAAGAAGGACTTTGCGTTACGAGGATACTGCTTCTGTTGAGATGTCTTTGGGACTGTCACGTTCTTTGGTAGGGTGCTCAAGAACCGGCTGAGCGCTTCTTGGTTGGGTGTTGAACTCTCACTCCCACAGTTGAGCGCGACCCGGAGTTGGTTGCTGTTGGCGATGGTGAAGGACTGAATGGCCTTGAGCTTCTGAATGACATCACTGAGCGACTCTTGCGACGCCAATGCGGTCATAAGCTTGATCTGAGTAAGACCTCCTGTCTCTTCCGCCAAACGCCCCACAGGAGTTATACCAGCCTCGGCAAATCGCATGGCATAAGAATGACCAGACTCGGCAATGGAACTGATTGCGCCACTTGCTGCACTTTGTAATAGTTCTCGGATCTTCTTCTCGGCTTCAGGGCCGTCAAAGTCCGTCTCTTGAATAATTGTTCGAAGAAGCTCATACATGTCGGGAATGTTGCGATCAAATGCGTAGCCGGAGAAAGCCATGCCCTCCTCGTAGGCATCGAGGGACAATGGTGATTGAGTCGAGTGGTAACCGACAGTGATACCACCAGTCTTAAGTTTGATCTGTTCCTCGAGCTGCTCCATCGTCTTGTCCTTGGTGCCAAGGCGCATAATAGCACTTGTGAAGAGCGGAATCATCTCTCGTAACTCGTCTGGAAGGTCTTGGAGCTTGTGCACTGCACGGAAATATGTCAGACCGTTTGTAGGAGCCTCGCGCCATTGAACCTTGACACCATCCAAGTCAGTGTGGCGCAATGGTTTCCGCTCCTTTTCTCGCGGGATATCCTTGACATGCACAGAAGGTAAGCAGCTTAGGTCTTCATTCCTAGCCTCCTCTTGAACCTGTAGCAGCTGAAGCTCCCGATCCTCTAGATACTTTTGTGCCTCCTGCTCGCTCGAAAATTGCTTGGTAGTCTCTGCAATCTTGGCTGCTAGTCGTTGGCTCTCCTCGTCTACAAGCTCCTGGCTGAATGTCTCGGAAGGCTGCATGGTGAAGGTCAGTGTATTGTCGGTAAGGAGGTACTTTTCAATCAGGCTCTCCAAGTAGTCTCCTTCGGCGTACTTCTTCTGGAAGGCGTTGACGGTTTCCTGCCACGCGAGAGCCTTGATTGGATCAATGCCGTTGAACCAGCCTGGCTTAAGTCGCTGGAGAATACCCATGCCGAAGCTTGCGGTCTTGTGCTTCAACGAGAGCTCGAGCTGGTGCAAGATACCGTCCACCTTGATCTTGTCGAAGCCATTCTTCCGAGATTCAAGCAGGGTTTCTGCAATGACTTGGCGAACTTTGGGTACGTCATCTGCCTTGACTGCATCCAGGCCTATCGAAAAGACTCCTCGTCGCCCTGCGCTATCGTAGCCGGTGTTTGCGCTAAAATCAGCACCGAGTCCAGATTCAACAAGATTACGGTACAAAGGCGATCCGTATCCACTCATGAGCAGGCTACTCAAGACACCGAGCGCAAAGTTCTCAACAGCATCGGCAGTGTCACCCATCAGCCAAGTGACCGAAGTCTTGTACTGCCTGTCCTGAGGTACTAACGGATCCAGGGGGCCGGGAACGGTGACGTGCTTGGGGGCGTCAAGAGTAATTGGCGCCTTGACTTCCTGGTCAACAGCAATCTTGTCAAAGCTGCTCAAGCGGCTGTCCACCTCTTTCAAGTGCTCTTCCAATGGCATGTCGCCGTATGTGAGAATCTTGGCGTTGCTGGGGTGGTAGTGGTCGGCGTGAAACTTGCGCAACTGCTCCCAGGTGAGGTCAGTGATCTTCTGCGGGTCGCCTCCGGAGTTGTTGATGGCAGGATAGAGATGTTCCTGGAATTTGGTGTAGAATAGGTAGCTTGCGTCTGACATTTGCCCTTTCATCTCGTTGTAGACGACACCCTTGAAGACGATGCGCTTTGCGTTTGGGTCGTCGGATTCCTTGGCCAGCGGGTTCTCGGGCCCCAGGCGCCAGCCCTCTTGAGTGAAATCATTCTCCTTGAGAAGCGGGTGTAGAGTCGCATCGAGGTATACGGACATGAGGTTCTTGAAGTCCTGGGCATTGGTCGTGGCGAAGGGATAGCCAGTGTGGTCGGCAAAGGTCCATGCGTTCATGAAGTTGGACAGAGAGCGGGGCAGCATCTTGAAGAAGGGGTCGCGGATGGGGTACCTGGGCCGTCAGTTTGTGATTCGCAGAGGTCCCCGAAGGCTTTCTCACCTCTCGCTGCCACACAGCGTGGTGTGTTCGAGGATGTGCGGCACGCCGGTGGCATCTGGCGGGTTGGTCTTGAAGCCGATGGAGAAGACATTGTTGGTGTCCTCGCGGGCAATATGCAGATATTCGGCGCCCGTCTTGTCGTGTTGAAGGTGGAGGGCCGTCAGCTCGAGCTCGGGCACCTGCTTGACGCGCTTGAGGGTGAAGCCATGGAGCTGTTGGCCGACGGTGGGCAGGCTGGTGGCGTTGGCGACAGCGGCATAGTGTCGTCGCGCAGTGGCGGGCAGTCTAGGCGGGAATTGCCGCCCAGCAGAGCGCAACATGTTCTGTCGTGGGCCGGGTGGGGATGGGTGAATAGACGTCGCAATGCCTCGTACTCGGTGTCTGCATACAATATGACCATACATGCGAAGGCGGGACAGAAATGCTGGCCAGCAATGACGCCTGTGTCGCCGATTGGCCGAGTGCGCCCTGTCCCCAAGACGGCTAGGCTGCAAAATCACAGCGGCGCAGAGGGTGCCTGAATGGGCAGTGGATTGGCTGGGGCGGGCGCTGGCCCATGTGCTCCTGGTCGATATTGAAGCTCGTGGGCGTGGTGGAGACAGTGCGAAGTACTACTACGTACATTCACTCCTACTCCAACGACGAAAGGCTTGCGTGGTGCCCGCCCGACGTCGACGACGACGACACCACAGCCTGCTGCTTCCCCCCGCCCCGTCCATCCTCTCGCCCGACCCGACTGGACTGACCGGACTGACTGCGACATCTGCTTCTGCTTGCCCTCTCGCCCTGTGCACCACGCTGTTCCGAGACGTCGGCGGAGACACGGCCACACCCTCTCCGCGCGCATTGTTACTCGGCTGCCGCTGCTACTGCTGTTGCTGCTGCTGCACTGCACTGCAGATGCGCACCCCCGCTGCGTAGACCTCCCTCTTCCGACACCTCCTGTACATGGGCGTCGTGGTGGCATAGGCAGCGGCTCCGTCACAGGCCACCACCACAGGATCCACCAGCCACGGCTTCATGGCCACCGTCGCCCAACACGGCCAGCCCACATCTGCTCATTCATCCCGACCACCGCACGACTCTTCCCGCACCACCACATCGCCCTCGCCCGCCGCTATGGCGCCCGCCCAGCACAATCCGGCGCCTGCGCCTGCGCCCACTAAGAAGGCAAAGGGCAAGAAGGCCGCCGACCCCTCGGAGCAGCAGAAGCAGATCCAGGCCAAGATTGCTCAGCTCGAACTCGACCAGGCAGGCGACAAGGAGCAGGAACTGGAAATCGGTGCGTCAATGTCTGGCCGTGCAAGTGGTGGGGGCGGGGATGCTCGAGGTGGCGTACACCACATGTGCAATTCCATCGCCATCACCACGGCCCACGGCCCTCTCATGTAAAAATAAATCGCTGGCTGACCACGGCATGGACAGAACGCGAAGTTAAGAAAGCAAACCGTGAACTCTCCTCGCTCCTCTCCAACATGGACGGTCCCCTCTCTCGCCTCGAGGTCGTCCAGAAGCGATACACCGAGCTGCTGTCCGACATGAAGCGCACCGAGCGCGAACACCAAAAGGCAAAGAAGCGCGGCGACCAGCTGCAAAAGGAAAAGGACGCCCAGCGCTCGGAGCTCAACAAGGTCACCACCATGAAGGACAAGCTCGACAAACTGTCGCGTGACTTTGCAAAAGAGAACAAGAAGTTAAAAGATGAACTGCACAAACTTGAAACCAGCGAGTCGGCCGCCCGCCAGGAACTCCACGAGCGCCTCGAGCATCTTGTCAACGACGTCGACGATTGCATAGCCGCTGCAAATGGCCCAGAGCCGCAGAATCAAGCCGAGCAAGAATTAGACGAGTTGTAAGTCTGGTATCCGGATATGTGTTGCATTGGCTGAGACGTTTAGATTCCGCCAAAAGTTCAAGTCATTTATCGACCAATACGAATTGCGCGAGCTGCAGTACCACTCGATGCTTCGGCTCAAGGAGCTGGAAATACAGTATCATTCTGCCCGCCTCGAGCAGCAGCGCAAGCAGCAAGAAGCCGAATCTTCAAAGTCACATCAATTGACCCGCCAGGTCTCGACCTTCTCACAAACCGAAACCGAACTCCGCACTCAGCTCAACATTTATGTCGAAAAGTTCAAACAGGTACGTCTAGTCTTCCACCCCTAGCTGGTCTGTATCATCATGGTTAATACTGACCAGATGCAGGTTGAGGAAACCCTCAACAACTCCAACGACCTCTTTCTCACGTTCCGCAAAGAAATGGAAGAAATGTCCAAGAAGACGAAGCGCCTCGAAAAGGAAAACCAAAATCTGCAGCGCCACAAGGACATCACCAATCGAAATATTGGTGAAATGGTCGAGGAGCGCCAAAAGATGCAGGAGGAGCTTGCCAAGAAGACGAGGGAGGCCGAGGAGCAGCGCAAGAAGATTGCCCGATTAGAGACGCTGTGCCGCGGCATGCAAGCACAGGGTCGCGGGCAAGTGCCCATGCACGAGCTAGAGCACGAGGAGCACGAGGAGGAAGACGAAGAAGTGACGGAGAGCGAGTACGAGTATGAAGACGAAGATAGCGCAGAGTACGACGACGACACCGAGGAAGACGGCGTTGAACCCGCACCTGAACGTCGACCCTTTGGGCCCGTGCCACCGCCGCCCCCACCGCAACCGCAGCCGGGCACGCAGGGTAAAGTCAATGGGCACAAACAGGTCAATGGGCAAATGAATGGAGTCAAACGCTAATAGCAAATGTCAGTCTCTCATGTTGTTCCACCGTCTTCTTCTACACAGTCTGCACCTGCTACGTCCCCAGATCCGGCCGACAACACGTCCAAGATGTCGTTCGAGGAATTTGTTGCTCGCAACTGCCGTCCTATGAGTGATCGTGATATGGATCAGATAACGCATTCCCTTCGTGATGTTCTTCAAGACGTGCTGGGAGAGCGTAGCGCGAGAACTAAACGGAGACGCTGGGCGGGTCACATGAAGAAGTGAGTCTGCCAGATGTTGAGGGGTATGAAGACGAGAGTTCGTCAGATTGTAATTGTTATTACCCATCGTCTTTTGGACACCAGTGGATTGGATTCAAAGGGAAACCGGAAAGGAAGGGGTTTTATCATTTGGGCTATTTTTAAGTTGCCCCCATTACTTCAGTGTAGGAAACACTTGGTATTTTGCCTAACCCAATACATAAAAACGCAGGGGGTTGGTTAGGACAAGTTAGAAATAACGTACCTGCGTTTGACCGGCTTTCAAAAACCCTGCTATGTCCTTGTTCTTTTTCTTTCTGATTTTATAACTAGAAATGATGAAGTTGCAGTGCATTATCTACACCATTCGCATTTATGTCCAAGCGAATGAATTACAAATATTGGAATTGATTTTATTATATACTCTTTTATGTCCCTGGATACACGGTTTCCATCAACGTCCATACCATATCTCTAATCTCCACACTTTTTTTCTTCTTTCTCGTTTGCTGAAGTTGGCATCGACCTATATCCCACGGACGCGCAGTGCTACTATCGTTCATATACCACTGACGAGCAATACCAATAGACAGAGGCATTTCCCACTACTCAACAGCTACCTAGTAGCGAGAATGAGGGGGTTGGGGAAAGGGAAGGAAAATCATCCTTTCATCCCTGAAAAAAAAAGGGGGGGCGGGGGCTCCTGGACGCCAAAGATCTAGGGGTTTTTTTTTGTATTTTATTAGTGGACATGTCGGTACGTTTCCTTCCCTTTTTCCCTTATACCTTTATTTACTAACCAAAGCATCCCAGGCCCAGTGCCACCCATCTCCTTCGCAACAGCGCTTTTTTCACAAATACAGGAAGTCGATATTAACGCCATTTGTCTGAATTATAGTCAATACAACTGTTTTGAGAGAATGAGGAAGGATAGATTACGGGGGGGGAGGGCTGGTCGGCGACAGAGAGGCGGGTATGTGATAACTTTTCAACGATTTTAATTATGAGAATGTTGAGGTTAATAGAGTATTCATCCAAGTTGCTATCAGGATTTACAATACGGCGGTGTTGGATACCTGTTTTGCAGCTGAGTGAGGCGTATCGCCCATGAAGACAGAGATTGGTGTAAGGTTGGGTCTTGTGTATCTTATTTCTGCGTTTAGTATCTTGCTGCTGGGCTTTATGAGTGTTGGGTACGAGGGTTGTGCTGGTTGTGACGAAGGTGGATCAAGTTGGGCAGTGTGTGAGTCTGGTGCTAGCAGCCCCCAAAGGCACTACTATTTCTCTAGTCACATGTACCAGACGCATGGTGAAAAAAAATCCGAACAAAATTTAATTCTTTGGACTTTACCAGCCTGCTTTTCCCCCGTTTACCAACAGTGTATCAACGAGTGTACCTCCTTGTAGTGCCTTTATGGTGAGTAAGCCAGTTGGCACGGCATCCAGAATAAGATTTCCACCGCACAGCGTATAGCCGTCCAGGGTGTCGGGCAACGCGCTCATCACTACATCCTTCTCGCTGACCTTCGGTGCCAACGTCCCGGGCTGTGTAAAAGGTGCAGCGATACGTACGTGAACATCCTCACAAGAGCTAGGCGCCGATACAGCAATGGCGGTATTGACAACCTTGCCGTCAAGAGCCGTTAAACTCTGCACCACGAATACCCGGTTGCTAATCTCAAAGTCTTGTTGGACACCTGCACCACTCACAGAAAAGGAAGTCGCATTTCGAATCGAGGGTCCAGATACGGAAAAGGGGAAGTAAGTCGTGGTCCCATATCCATCAGCACCGCGACCGAAAACAGACTGTCCAGTCTCGGCTTCGGCAACAAGTGCAATGTCCGTCTCATCCTGACCCATGCGAAGCGTAAGTGAATTTAGACTTCCGTGTCCCGCTGCAGTCAGCACTCTAATCTTACCCGATAGCACCAGCTTGCCATCGATCTTGGAGTAGTCATAGGTAACGTTAATCGGCTTGACGAGGATTGCCGTGACGATATCACCGAGTTGCACGTGAGATGGCACGGTATCGATGGCGCGGCGCATAAGCTCGACACAGGTATCTAGGAACGCGGGTCCCTGTGCAAGCAGTGCTCGCATGGTGGCATTACCATCGCTCTCATAGAGCCGAAGGTCAGAGTTCATGGTCTCATTGTGCGAAGTCACCAACGGACCGCCTTTATTGCCCGTCCAATGCACATATTCTCCCAGAACGTTGGGATCAAAGACACCGCGCGTCGTGTCGAAGTTGCTGCCGCCGTTGGTGTTATTTGGGGTGACAAAGGTCTCGTCTACAACTTCGGGAAAGCCGCCGTGGTGCACCGAGCCCATGGTATGGCCGCATGCCGTGAGGCCAATGGCATCTTCCACTTTTTCGAAGCCGGCACGCTCGAAGAATACGAGGGTCTCTTCAAGACTTGTTTCTGGTGCTGGAACACCTGTTGTTGAGCCGGCGGCGAGAGCGTCAATGCGCCCGGGGCGATAGGGCATGTTGTTGCCTCCACATAGGTTGTTCGACATGACGGTTCCGATTGCAATTAGATCGGCCACTAGGTTTCTGGTCAGCCAAGAAGAAGAGAATAAATCCACGGACCGAAACACATACTGGAAACAGCGCCGTTGACATAGGGCTTCCAAAAGGTAAAACTGTCGTTGAATGCACTCCCCTTGTTCTCTTCCCTCGCTGTCTCAAACCCAATGCTTGCATCCACTCCACCTGTACCTGCGCTTACATTGGCCGTTATGAAGTCGTGGAAAAGCACACGCATCCATTGGGCTGCCGTCGTGCGGCCACTGGTTAGTGCCGCATTCCCTGTCTGCGTCACGTAGCGGTCACAGGGCGTAATTGCAGAAGAAAAGTTGGATGCGTAAGCGCCCCAGTTGTCGACGAGGATGTGCTCAAGAAGATGTGTCTGAACATCTGGATAGTAGAGTGCGGCACTGGCTGTGGAAGCAATCACTGCGATTGCAGTTGCGATATTGATTGAGGCGAACATGATGGCTTGGTGGATTCTTCGCCCAACATTGAGGTAACATGGTTGTACGATACATATATACGTGTGATTTTGTTAGTAGATGCCGGCTGTATGTGCATTTTCGATAGTGCATTTGGCTTTGGGCAATATTCCTATCTCGAAGGTGAGGCTGGGTGGCGAGTGGTGGTGAGCCGCGGAGGAAAAGGTGGGGTGAAACGAGTAAATAGCTCTTTCTTCTTTCTGATACTATATAGAATATGCTATTGGTCGCTGGGCACGTGCATGTCTCGTTGTATTATTTCTAATGCTGAGGTAAACATGTAATAAGCGGGGATACGTACGCCCCTTGTCAGATTGAGTAGGAGGAAACTCAGAGCATTGGGTTGGAGGACTGGAGGCGTGCAGCCAGGGTGGAGTGGTGTATTTTTTTTCAATTCCTACAAGAGGTTACCATGAGCACAGCAGGAAAGCTTCTAAAATCCCACAAATAGTCCAAACTGCTCTTCTTGGTTGTCTGGCTAGCGTCGCGATGTGTACACTACTTGAGAGGGAGTAGTCGGAGGATGGTGATTGGCCGAGGGCGGCGACAGGGTCTTGCGGGGAAACAACACGAGCATGAACCGAGGCATGGCCATCGCAACTCGCCAACTTCGATGCCCATTACCGGCAAATACCCGGGGCCTGAACATGTGGAGACATGAAGCTGGAGGCGCGCTATTTAGCATCCACTTCCCCGGACCTGTCATGGCGCCACACAAAGCTCTCTCCCTTTCACCAGCATGGCGCCACCAGTATTGCAGACGCCCCTGTCCCAGCTGCTGGGCATCCAGTACCCCATCATCCTAGCCGGCATGGCGAGAACCTCTGGAGGCCCTCTCGCAGCCGCAGTGTCTAACGCTGGTGGTCTTGGTGTCATTGGCGGTCTGGGCTACACGCCTGCCCAGCTCCAGTCAATCATCGACGAACTCAAGTCCAACCTTGATGACCAGAATCTCCCCTTTGGTGTCGATCTTGCCCTGCCTCAGGTAGGCGGCAGCGCGCGCAAGACGAACCACGACTACACGCATGGCCAGCTGGACGAGCTTATCGAGGTGACCATCAAGAACGGAGCAAAGCTGTTTGTGAGCGCGGTGGGTGTGCCTCCTGCGCGCACCATCAAGAGGCTCCATGAGGCGGGCATCCTGATTATGAACATGGTCGGGCACCCCAAGCACGCGAAAAAGGCGCTGGACGCTGGCGTGGACATTGTATGCGCCCAGGGCGGAGAGGGCGGTGGCCACACGGGCGACATTGCAAACAGCATCCTGATACCGGCTGTGGTGGACGTTGCGCGCAAGTACAAGAGCCCGTTGACAGGCGAGCCGGCCATGGTGGTGGCTGCAGGAGGCATCTACAACGGCCGCAGTCTAGCCAGCAGTCTGATGCAAGGCGCGCAGGGCGTATGGGTGGGCACGCGCTTTGTCGCCTCAACCGAGGCAGGCTGCTCCAAGATGCACAAGGAGAATGTTGTCACGGCCGACTTCACAGACACTGGTCGCACACTGGTTGTCAGCGGCCGCCCTCTGCGGGTGCGGTATAACGACTACATCAAGGAATGGCATCAGAGGGAGGACGAGATCAAGAAGCTGACCGAGGCGGGCATTGTGCCCATTACCAAGGACATGGACGACGGCAAGGACGTGGACATTCCGTTCCTGATGGGGCAGGTCGCGGGCGTGATTGACGACATCAAGCCCGCAAAGCAGATTGTCGACGACATGGTGCAAGAGGCAGTCGAGATGCTGAAATTGGGCCAGACGTACATAGGCGCGGCGGGTGTGAGGAGCAAGCTGTAGTAAGGACAGGGTGCGGGAGTCTAAGTTTGTTTTGGGTTGCTTAGCTTGGGCGTGTCTGTGCTGTTTGTGTTTCGGTAGGGCTGCATCCGCCCTGAGTTGCTTGTTGGTTGTTTCGGTTCGTGGGACGGGTAGTAGGGTGATATTATTATATTAATTTGTTGTGCCAGTGCAACCGTCGAGGTCAAGAGGCTCGCCGTGCACGCCCGCTTCAGGGCCAGCAGTGCTGAAACCCTTCAAACCCCACAGGCTCTTTGTTTTATTTTGGGCGTGTCGGACATGTCTCTGGCCCTGCTGCTGTCGCAGTGTGAGCATGAGCATGCCCATGTCCAAGGGGGGGCCTCTCTCTCCGTGCAGGCCAGGCGAGCGGCATCTCGGAGATCTGCGACCAGGATCGCGCAGCCCGAACACATGGCAGCACCAGTCGTGACCAAGCTCAGGAGAGAGCTGACGGCGGCCGTTGGATCCCCTCGATATTCACAACTAATACTGTACATAGTTTTCTCCCATTTGTGGCCCGGCCAGACCTGACATCTTTATCTCTGCCTCCGTCGACCATCCCAGGCCCCTGGCATTTGCCGTCCGTCCGCCCGTCTCCACTCGCTACCAACGGCCTCTACCGCATCGCCGTCTCATCCCTCGTCCCCGTCCGCGGCGCGCGCTCGCCAGTCCACACTCCTGCCTGTCCATAGATGACGCTGGTTGCGCAATCGATTCCACGGAGCAGCGGCGCATCATTCCATGCAGTCAAATCTCAGAGCCCAGGCTGAGATTCAGGCCCAGAGGAAGAAGGTATGTCTGCTCCTCGTCTTACTCTCATCATCCGTCCCTTGCCGCCCCAGCCAAACGCCTGTGCGCCCGCAACAAGCAAATCCCACGAGCGCAAATTGGGCAAAGGACATGAGAGAATGCAACACTGGAAGAGATGGAGAGACTTGCCGTCGCTGACTCCTCGTGAACAGCAGCTTGCAAACTCGTATAAACAGCTACTCGAGTAAGCCCTTCGTTGCCACACCATGCGCGCGCTCCCGGCGCGTCCTTCACATGCACCCGTGTCCTGACACCCCCAACAGTGAATTCGCGGCCACCGACCTCAAGACCGTCGGCAATTATACCGTCGGCAGACTGATAGGCAAGGGCAGCTTTGGAAAAGTCTACTTGGCCTCGCACAAACTCAGCAATGGCTCCAAAGTGCGTCGTTGTCGGAGCATGGTCGCAATCTTGGCACCATAACGCTGACCACCACACAGGTCGTGCTCAAGAGCGCGAGAAAGGACGATGCCAACCTCGCGCGTGAAATCCACCACCACCGCCAGTTTATACACCCCCACATTGCTCGCCTGTACGAAGTCATAGTCACGGAGCAGATGGTATGGCTGGTGCTCGAGTACTGCCCCGGCGATGAACTATACAACTACCTCCTGGCCAAGGGTGCTCTCGAGCCCGCCAAGGTCCAGCGCATCTTCACCCAGCTCGTCGGCGCCGTCACCTATGTCCACAATAAGTCGTGCGTCCACCGCGATCTCAAGCTCGAGAACATTCTCCTGGATAAACACGGCGATGTCAAGCTGGTTGACTTTGGCTTCACCCGCGAGTACGAGGGCAAGTCAAACTATCTACAAACATGGTGCGGGACAATTTGCTACAGTGCTCCGGAAATGCTCAAGGGCGAAAAGTATGCTGGTGAAAAAGTAGATGTTTGGAGTTTGGGCATCATTCTCTATGCCCTGTTGGTGGGCGAGCTGCCTTTTGACGACGACGATGAAATGGTTACCAAGACAAGAATCCTGAAAGAGGAGCCAAAATTTCCAGACTCCTTTCCTCCGCAGGCAAAGGAGTTGTGCCAGTCATTGCTTTCGAAACGACCGATTCTGCGTCCTACCTTAGCCGACATACTCCAGAACCCTTGGTTGTCGGAACATGCGCCGCGCCAGCAGGAGACGCTAAAGCTGCAACAGCCGGCTCCCTTTTCCACCGAACTAGAGAAGGAGGTTTTGCAGCGTATGCGCGCTGCTGGAGTCGACATTGACATGGTGATTGAGAATGTATTGGCACAAAGATGTGACTCTCTCGCCGGTTGGTGGGCATTGTTGCTCGAGAAGGAAGAACGAAAAGCCAGGAGGAGAGAGCGGAAACGAAAAGAAAGGGAGGCAGAAGCGAAGAGTCTTCGACGGTTGAGTGCTGCAAGTAGTCGTCTCGACAAACTCGCGCCTACTATTAGGGAGATGGACGAAGAAGGGTACCACCTACCCCAAACACCAAAAAGTCGCGGTAGAACGGCCAACCGCAGCAGTTTACATGGTGAGTCAAGTAATTTTCTCAGTTAGGGAATGATGCTAACTTTGACTAGGTGCTCCAGAATTACCGCGTCTCCCGGAATCGCTCACTTCTCCCAACCTCACAATTGACGACAAGCCCCTACCTCCAATTGACCCTCCTCGAGGACGCAAATCACACTCTGCGTCACGGCCACCACTTCCTGCGAAAGATATCGATAGACGAAGATCACGTAGTAGCATGCTACAGGTTGTCTCCAACCCCGATCTCCTTTCACCAAACGGATTTGTACCCAAGCCGCGTCGGAAGCAGCCCATCATTGGCCATCTGCTATCCCTCCGGAATTGGATAAAAGAGACATCCAAGCGCGCACGGTCGCCAAACTCGAAAGCTAGTAGTGTGCAGTCACCAAAATTGCCCGAAAATAAGTCTCCAGAGGGAGGAAGACGAAGGCTTAACACAGCCAACCGGTCGTCTGTTTACACGAACCCAAAGTCACCGCCAATGGCACCGGCTTCTACGAGACCGCGGACCTCTACACACGGCTCAGGCTCTGTGAGACGACTATCAGCATCCCCAGCTCCATTGACACCACGGTCATCATACCGCCGGTCGTCTGGTGGTCTCCGAGGGCGCAAGTCCACATCATCATCCGTGTCTTCGATCCGCAGCATGCCGCACCACCACCACTCTCACAGCAAAGCCTCGTCAACCTCGTCGGCCTCACTCGCCTCCCCCGCCGTCTCAACATCCGGCCACTCGCACAAACCCTCCAAATCTCCCCATAACAGCATCAAAGTCCTACCTGCTACACCTACATCATCCTCTTTCCCCTCGAACATCCGCGTTGTCCGCTCCGGATATCCACCCGGCCTCAGCGAATCCAGCGCCGCATTTGGAAACGGCCACGCAATGCCTCCTCAATCCCCCGGCCTAGTCTTTGCCAAGCGCAAACGCAGCGTCTTCAAAGGCCCCATGCTCAACGTCAACACGGGCGTTGGCAACGGCAGCTCGGGAGGCGGTGGGTGGCGCAGCAGAAGCGGCGAGGGTGGTTCAGGAAGTCGTGGCACGAGTTCGCAGGGTAGACGCAGCGGCGAGATCCTGGGTATTACCGAGGAAGATGAGGAGGAAGAGGAGATTGAAGAGGTGGAAACATTTGGGGGTCGCTTAGGTGAAGGCGAGTTTGTAGAGGAGGTTTTAGGACCGCCTCTTACACCGCCGATGAAGGAGGAAAAGGAAATTGAAGTGGAGAAGGAGAAGGAGAAAGAGAAGGTTGAGGGTGCTTGAGGTGAGGGGATTTGAAGGTAAAAGTTGTTTTTGTTGCTGGGGTTTCTTCTTTTTCTTTCTTCATTTCTTGCCTGTGTGGTTGAGTTGATCGGATTAGACAATTGTTCGATTGTGGGGTTGTTGTTGTTGTAGATGTTGGTTTTTTTCCTTTACTTCTCCACCCTTTTTTCTTCTTCTTATTCTCATCATGGCATCATTCCCAGATCCCCGCATACATTTTTTTTCCTTTATCTACTCTTCTTATATCCCTTGGGTGTTTCTTCTACCAATGTAGTAAGCCATCTTTCTTTCCTTTCTCTCTCTCTCTATCTCTCGTTTTGCATTGGCATCGTCACACTCATACAAGCATACCCTTTGGCGTCTATAGGTTTTCCCCTTTACCCCCTCCCCCCCCCTTTCTTTTCTTAATCTGCGCGAAAAAAAATTGATAGTTCGGTAACTTTTTCACATACCCACATTCTGTCTCTCGTATCTCTCCCCTCGTAAAATGAATGTCATCACGCAGATCGATAAACATAGTGCTGACATGTTAACTCACCGACATGAGGTTAAATACCCGGAACCTCCCGAACCCAATCTCCCGGAATCGATATTTTACATGAAAAAAAGGGTAGCAATCGGTCGTGAGGAGCTATGAACTTACTCCAAATCATCGTCTCCAACTTTTGTCATACACATACATACATACATACATACACACATACGCAATCACCAGGGGTGGGTTACGCAAGCAAGCAAAAAAAGAAGCGGTGAAGTCAGGACCCGGAAAGTTCATCACGTATCCTCCTCTCTCCCCCCCCTTTTTTTTGCGAAAGAGGAAAATGCTACATCGATGTAATCAATAAAGGTGTTTTTTGTGTGTCACGGTGTACAACAGCATCTTCTTCCTATTAAATTTTTTTACTGAAAAGCCAGGGTAAAGGGGAGTGGAGAAGAGGCAAAGCACGCAAACAAAGTCCTCCCCCTCCCATGATAAAGTAAATGATTTACATGCCTTGCTTCAGTAGTAACAGTAAGCAATCGTAAGTGGACTGACTTTATGTACGTGACTGAACCAGGGGGTGTGATAGAGTGGTTCCGCCAAAAAAAAAATAATGCATGCGGTGTTTGATAATTACCACTTGTAAATAATCGGGAGAATTGAGTAAGCAAGTAAGAGGGAAAGGAAAAAAAAAGTCAGACACGCAATTCCCGTGTCCCTAGACTGAACGAGCAATTAGCAATTACAGATATAGTGATAGTTCACTTGGGATTCATACAAAGGAAGAAAAAAAAAAGAAAAAGGAAAATACGCGTTAGTTTAGTAAAAAGACAGGATTGAAAGGATCCCGAAAAAGGAAACCCAATCACATGCCGCAAGACCGTTTTTTTGGGGGGGTTTTTTTGGTTGCAACGGTGAGCTCGGGTAAAAAGCAAAAAGGTGGAGGGAAAAAAAACGGTGCCAGTGGGTTGTTACACACGAATGGGGGGTAAGTAAATCACATGTGCGTGCGTGTGCGTGCCGTGCACGGGGCCGCAGAAACGCCATTTTAGTTCTCCGTGTCTACTCTCTCTCTCTCTCTGTGTCGCGCTCCCTTTTTTTTTCCTGGAACCTGGGACACATATTGCACAGGGGGGGACCGTTTGTGCGGGAACGCGGATCGACATATGGGAATCACGCTGGGGGGGCAAGATCGAATATCATCTTGGGAGTATCAATAATAATACGTGATAATGGGTGTTCGTGTTTGCCCGCCATTATCGTTTATTTTGTGTTCAACAAGAGAGAGTTTAATGAGGGTATTGGCAATTGGTATTACAACAGTAGGTGGTAGACGAGTGGTGAGCCGCCGATCTCGCCACTTGCGTCAGAAGAACGGCGACCTTGAACCTGCATGTGCAAACCCAAGTGCAGTTGCATAAGTTCCAAATGATTGCTGGGGGCGGTATTTATTTATTCTGGCCGTTGGAAAAAGGCGCCTGCGGCTGCGGAGTTTACATAAAAGAAAAAGGGCAAGGCTATGGCATGGGTAATCTGTCGATCATTTTCGGGGCGAACTTGTTCAGGGGAGGGTGGGAACGCGACGAGTACGTATATACGAATGAAGTTTCTCTAACATGTGCATGAGATTGGCTTTTGTCCGGGTTGCAGAGGCACGTAATGGCATTAGCTATTTGGGCCGGGACACAGTAGAGAGGTTATGAGGGGAATTGCATGGAGGGCCGCCCGGTGGTGGCTGGCCTTATCAATTGGGCGTGCCACTGACCTAACCGGCATGGGAAGGCATACCAAAAGTGGTTGGCGTCTGATTCATGCCGTCTGCCGAGCAACGTCCCGTAAGCGGGCATTGCGATAGCAATGGCAAGACTGACATCTGTCTCTGTCGTGTTCTTGTTTCTGTAAGCGAAATGGCAGAGACGAAAGAGATGGTGGCTAGGCCCGTGATGGATGGTGAGACGATTAGTGCTCGGACTTGATAAGAGAGAAAGTGGGGGGCCAAAGGATGGAAATCACGGTTGGCCTTGTGTGAGAGAGTGTGTGTTGTGGGTTGAGATGCGCGAAGCTGTGTGTTTGATTCCCGACGAGGTTGCGCGGGGCTGGCACGGAGGGAGAGTGGTGGTTGTTGGAGACGGGCCGTTGTCGGGCGGATTGCGAGCATGTGTGCTTAGGTAAGGCGAAGCACGTTTTATTGTGGCGTGGTGTTGGACAGACCGAGGATGGGTTTATGAAGCGGGAGAGGGATGAAGCAGCTACTGACGAATTGTGGACCGTACCTGCATGTGATGGCGGCTGTCAAGGGCCATGGCCGAGTGCGTAAGAGGCAATGAGATTTTAGCCGTCCCACCACGACGCGCTGCAAAGGAGCATGCATCCATCGTGGGCCGGGTAGGACGGGTTTTGGAAAGTCGGATGGATGCAATCTTGCAATGGATGGTGGCTGTCCATATCAGTTGGTGTGGGTGTTGGATGGGAGGGAGGGAGGTGAGGGGCAAGCTACCGCCCACCCAGCCGTGACTCGACCGTCCGACGAGCACATGGCGATAAGGGCGACCGGTAGCATAGACAGACACCGAGGCCGTCTGGTAGCGCCGGCGGCCACGCGAGCCGCAAATCTGGAGCAATGAGAGAATCCAGCTAGGCGACCGAGATTGGCTGTTTTTGGCGCCATCCGCTCGAACGGCTGGAGGTTAGTGGAGGCGACGAGGCCAAGCACGGCTGGCTGGCTCAAGGCTAAAAACAGCTGGCACATGGACATGGCCGCAGCATGGCGAGAGGAGGGATACGAAGACGAAGAAGAAGACGAAGAAGACGAAGAAGAAGAAGACCGAGAATACGAGGTTGGATGTGATATCATCTGGATATGCGCACATGGATACTTGGACCCATCCACACACCACGTCCAGACGGCGATGCGCGGTGATGTGAATTGCCCTCACCCCAGCCCACTTGCATGAATGGACATGGCACCCCCACTACCTGGTCAATCCATATCCAGCCCTTCCCAGCAACTTGGGCCTGCCTCGACCATCCCTGACCCTTGGCCCCGGACTGACATGTCTAGTGTGCCATGTATGTACACTCTTACCGACACATCCAGTTAGTGACCGGTACGCTCAGAGCTGCCTTGCCCGTCAGCACCACGGCCTGCTCTCATAAGTAATAACCCGGTCCCTGCGCCCGCTCGCCCGGGACAAAAAAGCAATCGGTTCCATCTCAGTCTCCGCAACTTGCAGCGACACCGACCACCGTGCAGAATCGCCTCGCACCTGTCCCTCTTTTGCGCTGCCTGTTCTGCCTTGTGTCGCTTGTCTGGCTGCCCTGTGCCGTCCTGTCCGGCGCCCTGCTGCCTTGCCCGACCCCCCGATGACCATGGACGACGACATGTACGGCACCGAAAAGAGCTTTGGGAGAGCCTCGCAGGGATCCGACTACTATGGCGAGTCCTCTCGCTACAATGAAGGCCTCGGCCGCCGCATGCTCGACAGCTTCAAGCGGGACCCCAACTTCGCCATGACCATGACGCCAAAGACAACCGTCGGCGCTGATAGCAACATGTTTGATCCAGAGGCTGCTGCAACAAATACTGCAAACTCGCCACTTGCTCGAAGGCTCAAGGGTCGCCACTTGCAGATGATAGCTATCGGAGGTTCCATTGGTAAGCATGCCTTCCTCTCCCACTCAACCACCTCGTCCATCCGCTGATTACGAACCCATCAAAAAAGGTACCGGTCTGTTTGTCGGCTCTGGTCAGGCACTAGCAAATGGTGGTCCAGCATCGCTCGTCATATGCTACTGTCTCGTCGGTGTCATGCTCTACACCACCGTCCACGCACTGGGCGAAATGGCCGTCCTCTTTCCCGTTGCTGGTTCCTTCTCCGCATACTCGACACGCTTCCTGGATCCCGCCTGGGGCTTTGCCATGGGCTGGAACTACGCTCTGCAATGGCTTGTTGTGCTCCCCCTCGAGATTGTCGCTGCCACCTTCACCATTGAGTATTGGAACGGCGACGCCGTCAACAACAACGCATGGGTCGCCATCTTCTTGGTCCTGATTGTCGTCATCAATCTGTTTGGTATCAAGGGATATGGAGAGGCCGAGTTTGTCTTTGCTATCGTCAAAATCACCGCAGTTATTGGCTTCATCATCCTCGGAATCATCATCAACATTGGCGGCGGTCCAGACGGCGGCTACATTGGAGGAAAGTACTGGCGGGACCCAGGACCCTTCAACAACGGCTTCAAAGGACTCTGCAGCGTTTTCGTCAATGCTGCCTTTGCCTTTTCCGGTACTGAGCTCGTCGGTCTTGCTGCTGCTGAAACGGCCAATCCGCGCAAGTCGCTTCCCACGGCCGTCAAGCAAGTCTTTTGGCGAATCTCCCTCTTCTACATTGTCTCGCTCACTGTCGTCGGTCTGCTCGTGCCATACAACAACCCACGCCTCCTCCAGGACAAGAACAACGTCGACGCCGTCGCCTCTCCCTTTGTCATTGCCATCCAGAATGCCGGTATCGAAGGTTTG